GGTCATAGACTGTGTTCACTGTGTTTTGGGGTTTTTCCTGTTTTTGTGTTTTGGTGGGCGTGTTATTTCTATGTTGGCTGGGCGGAGCCGATCGGGGAAGGACTTTCACGCTGGCAGCTGTGGCTGATCTGCTCATCAGCAGATGACCTCAAAAGCAATCATCTCACAGGACTCCAGCGCCAGAGAATTGTGATACCTACCCCGTGGTACAGTCAGGCTGCTAGTTGCTACACTTCGCTGAGCATTCCTAGCTAATATTGATGTTCTCTAGTTTCGAGCTCATCGTGTTTTTCTCTGCCTGTCGCCAGTGTCCCTCCTCGGCTTCAGCACTCAGCACTTCTCCTGGCACACCAGCGTTGCACCCACGTAAACTTCACTACGGGAACCCACGGTCACAAGCACCTTCACCGGGAGAACCTCCACGAGAACCGCCACCCACGAGCACCGTACCCCGAGCACCGGACCTCTGCGCACCGCCCCTGGTTTTCCCTCTCCACGGCTCCCTCTCAGCACCAGGAAATCCTCCACGGACAAAAGCACGCAGGAGCACCGGACCTCCTCGCACCACCCTCGGCACCCCCCCACAACCGGCACCCCTTCACCGGACTGTGTTTCTGCCTCCTGGTGCCCATCACTCCACCACCTTCCCTAAAGAAATCCTGTTTCCTTTAACCCTTTTCGTTTGGGTCCACCCGCACAGTCACTGAGCACGAACCGTTACATTCACACTGTGAATCAGTTTGAGTGTCATGAGTTGCTTTTGAAAGAAGCAACTATTGTACATTCCATATTGTACAAGTATGTCCTGACTAGAAACCTTTTCCAGATCATATTTATTTTGTTAGATCTATTTCATTAGGTTAGGTCTATATTTAGTCATACAATGTGAGTACAAGTAAAGAACACTTCTTGAGAAATTGCTATAAGCTACATCTACGAATAACACAGTCATTGGGTACCCCCCAAAATACAGCATTGCTCCCCCCTAAAAATAAAACCTAGAATCGCCACTGAAGAAGTCAGCACTCACCATGGGCATCAGTGTTGCTTTGTAGTCCATCACTGTTCGTAGTCCCTGCCACAGTCCCCTGATGTCCCTCCGCTGCGGCTGTGACTCCAGCTTCTCCCCGTACCTCTGCTTGGCCTCCCTCATGGCTCTGCGAACACTGTACGTAGCGGCCCGGTACAGTCCCATGTCTCTGGTAGCGAGTCCTGTGTTGTAGGCGGCGGTGCAGGACTTCAGAGCGTCGGGGATGCCTTTGTTCATCCATGGCTTCTGATTGGGAAACTCCTTGATTTTTCTTTTGGGGATAGTGTCCTCCACTAGTTTCCCAATAATTCCCATAACCGCCTCCGTAAACAAACAACCTGACGTCATCACCGGAGCTGTGTTGGAACATGTTCCAGTCTGCTGTCTCCAAGGTATCCTGCAGGGCGGCCTCTGCAGGGTCAGACCAGCGCGACACTTCTCTCTCCAACAGGGCTGCCCGCTTCAGCCGCTGCTTGTACCTGGGCAGAAGGAGAATGGAGTCGTGGTCTGACCTGCCGAATGGTGGTTGTGTTTTGGCTGCATAGCCGTCTCTGAAGGGAGAATAACAGTGGTCCAGAGTTCTGTCTCCTCTGGTGGGGAAGGCGATGTGCTGGCGGAGTTCTGGCATCGCCTTCCTCAGGTTGGCACTGTTAAAATCCCCGGCCACGATGAGGGCTGCCTCCCGGTGGTTAGCCTGGTAGCTGGAGATAGCCTCATGTAGCTCGGCTAATGCAGCGTCCGTGTCCGCCTGCGGGTGAATGTAGACAGCACTGAGAATAACGGAGGTGAATTCCTGGGGGAGGTAGAAAGGCCAGCATTTGATGGTTAAAAGTTCTAGGTTGGGCGAGCAGGACTTAGAAAGACACACAACATCTCTGCACCAGTTGTTGTTGGTCATGAGACAGACTCCCCCGCCTCTAGACGTCCCCGACTCAGCCATTCTGTCCATACGATGAACTGTGAAGAACTCCACTGGTTGAATGGCATGGTCCAGTAAGGTGGGGGTCAGCCATGTCTCCGTCAGGCAGATGATGTTGCAATCTCTTGTGTCCCTCTGGTACCTGATCCTGGCTCTGAGCTCATCCAGCTTGTTGTCCAGGGACTGGATGTTCGCGAGCAGGATGCTAGGCAGTGGTGGTCGGTGTGCTTGTAGCCTCAACCTGTTCCTAGTGCCGCCTCGTTTCCCCCGGAGCCTGTTACGCTGTGTCAT